GAGGAGGGCAGGAGGAAGAGTCCGTACCATCACATGGCTGATTTAGCAGAGAGCAAAACAGAACTAAAACAGACTTGCTGCACGGTGAAAGTGATGTAGGTCAGCAATCAGAACACTGATTCAGATAAACTCTGAGGTTGGGGCAAATAAGGAAATAATCTAATATAACCTCCTATATAATAGGAAGGCCATAAAATTTCATCCAAACCAAGACCACCACCATTACCAATTCTGGGCCTCACCATTTGATGGCATTGTAAACAATCTTCCTCAAATTAATTCCATATGAGGACCAGTAGCTTCCAACAGCTCTAAACATCCTTTGATTTAATTTATACCATCTTGCACCTGCCCAATTTTGAGCAGCACTTCTCATACAAACGTCCTCAAACATCAGTCACCAGACGAACCAGCAGCAACTGAGCAGATACCCAAGCATAAACATGATGAGATCAGCCAGACTCTGAGGCAGTGTGACACTGGCACAAACAAAGGTTGGAGGATTCTCATTGTCATTCTAAGGGTATTATGCCAGAAACACGTGTAATAACTTCCCAAAGTGGATGACAGAATCCCATCTGGAATTTTCTAACTGGAAAAACATACAGGAGTAGGTCTATCATAGTGCATGGAGTAGGTTAGCAGTTTCACTTACAGGCAAAAGAAGTCTCAAACTTTCCCTGTTACCTATTCATCTTTTTCCCACTCTATAAACCCTTCCTAGATGATCTTAAGGTCCTTTCCAACCCCAACCATTCTATGATTCTATGACTCCTACATACAACAAACCTCCACTGCAGTGTGTCCAGCAACAGCCAGCATACTTAGTACCCTGCTGGAGGCTTCTGCTCCGAATCAGGCAGAACAGAAACTTAGATCCAAGTACTCCTTCTTTTAGAAAATGCCCTGGCTATTATTCATCTGTTCCTGGGAGGCACTTTGGGCACATTTTCATCAGAAATCCTGCCCAAAACCCTCAGACATCTTTCTGTAACGAGAAATTGTTTTCCTTTCCAAGCAGTTCTTCTCTGGCTCATCTGTTGTTTGGACATTGTATCTCTGCTAGAGGCAGTGCTAGAGGCACACAAACCCCATCAAACATCATAACAGAATCAAAACCATAAATGTTCAAGATGATGAGAGCTAGAGAGAAGCAGTGAAGCTTTTCAATTTCAACTCCATATAAATTGAAGAGCAAGCGAAGCAGACAACAACAACAAAACCACACCTTTAAACTATGCTGTAGGAGCTGGACTTAGTCCCTGACTCAGGTGAGTGTCCTACTTCCCTACAAGACCAAAATAAGTAAGCAGACTATACCCATCTGATGCAGCTGTTTGGAAATACTGATGTTGTACAACCCACAATCCCACAAAATGAAAACAAGATTGCATATTCAAAGTTGACAAGGGCATTGTTTTCAAAACAAAACATTCTAATTTGTTCTCCTACTGAACCATTTTCATTACCCTCATGAGAGATGGGAGTGCTGTCCCAGCGGGGATATCCATCCTTCCGACCAGTAAAGGAAGCATTTCTTCATGGAGATGTAAAAGATGAAGTAATCAACATTTCCCATTTTAAAGTAGAATCTGGTTTTATTCAACACAGGACTATAAATGGATAAAATTCACAATAACCAGCATTAAAAAAAACCAAAACAAATGACCACCAAACCCTACAGCCATACTTAAATTTCACTCTACATACTGGTCACTCACGTTTCTACATACAAAATTTTGTCAAGTCTTGCTCGCTACCAGATTGATAGATATTGACACCTGATACTAACAAAGCACACAGTTTATTCACAACTTCTAGGGGACTTTTAGGGTTAAGAAAGAAAAGCAAATCTTTATTTTTTGTCCAACAAGTTCATAGCTGGGAGGAACTGAAACGCTGCACATTAGGACGGAAGGAGACATCGGCTCACTAAGAGCCCTAACTCCTGCCTACAAAGGACTCAGCCCAGTACCTCCAACAATGTCATCATCCCATACCCAAGTCACTGCAGTGCAAAAGCTATTCAAATAAATAAATAAATAACAGCAGCAGCCCTGACAAGTAAAACCCAAGACACGGTTAAATATCTTTACAACCTGTAACTGTTATATACAACTGAAAGCATTTTAACCAAAGACTTCAGCCCATAGGGACTGGCCTCTCAGCATCTGAGGGCTGCAGAGTTTAAATTGTTTTGGTAAACTAGTATAAAGGTCTACGTACCTTTTTTGGGGGAAAGGGATTGGCATCTTCAGCTGAAGTCCTCTATTCCTCCCTCCTCAGGTAGCCACTGAAGTTGTGCCAATACAACTGTTTTGGGGTGGCAGTGTTATTCTTCCCCCCATGTGAGGCCAACATCAGTCCCCTGGTCTGGCTGCAAGTCCCCATGGTCAGCCTGGCCAAGTGAGGGGCAGCGTGCCATGCCACTGGTATGGGAAGTCCTTCCAAACAACATTACTGCATAATTCTGTCATTTTCAACTACAGCCTAAAGCCCAAATGTAGCACAGATTTATGAATTCACATGTTGAGCATCCCCACTGGTCTCAACAGGTTTAATGAAAATCTAAAGTTAACCATTCATCCAGGTAACTGCAGAGTCGGAGCCTGTATACAGCATTCATTCGCAAGGACCTCGTACCTTCCTTAAATCTTTGTGGGACTGAGGTTTTCCCTGGTTTTCAACAAAACAGTTAAAAATGAACATATTCTTACACTGTTCAAGTCAAGCATAAAGCACGAGCTGAATGAAACCAGTGAAATAACTCATCAAAGACTGAACAATTACTAATCAGCCCTGGAAATTAAATGTTGTGCCAGCATATGGAACAACACCAGTAGCTGATGAGACATTTCTTTACCATATTTTATGGGACTATTTTAGAGCGTGCTGTTTTATTAATCAAGTGTAAAGACTACTACATTGTTTCACAATATTTAAGAGCATAGTTCGGAACAAGACATGTGCCTAGGGTTTTAATAAATACAGTTAAGAATAATACACAGTTTAAATTATCTAGACTTCATGATTACTATTTAAATGATCTAGACTTCAAGTATAAACACCTCATATAAAAAACCCTCCTTTTTACTTTGTACATCTTAAAAAATAAATCACAGAAACATCTGTTTTGCAAAGGAGACAGCTGTACAAAGAAATGATATGTTTTGAAGACATTAAACCATCTATTCGCTGCATAATACTAGTTGCTGAAATGTTCTCTTACAACCTACCACCTAGGCAATTTTTCTTTTCTGATATTTTGGCTCTAAATCAGAAATTCTGAGCCACTTGAAATTAGCCACTTGAAAGAGATTTCTGGTTATTAAGGCCCTGATCTGACAATGACATTCACATGCACACACCAACACCGAAATCAGGGAGTACCTGACAGCAATCACGGTGGCAGCAGGCACTAAAGCAGCTCATTTCTTCAATCCTGCAAAGCTCAAGTATGACAAGTCACAGTTCTCTGCTACCCTAAGGGCACATCCTCTCATTTCAACCCAGCCTAGTGGAGCAGCGCAACAATTATGTGACACTTGCACAACCAGTTTATAATGCCCCGAAAATCATGAGAGCCCCCCACCGGACATTCTGACTCACAATCTGCTTTATCTTGCTTAGGACTCTTCCGCACAATCCTCATTAAGGATGAACACTCATCCAGAGAGTCTGTGAAAACTGCTAACTGCAGTACACTGCAAGAGTAAATTCCAGTTCTTTGCCTACCAAAAGGCTCGATGGTGTCCTTGGGATTAGAAATAGGACTGTAGTTAAAAACTAATCATATGGTGAGGTTATTGTCTGAGCAGCATCAAAATACTAATAGCAGTGCATCTTAACAACCGGCTGGTATTGTCCTCTATAAAGTGATGCCCTTGATATGCACAAGATGACATAAGGGATACATACTTTGCTCACTGACACTGGAACCTTACACTGCTAGACTGTGATGATTTCAACTTCCTTCTGCTCTCATTTTGACTTGTTTTTGGAAAATACACAGTTTGGCATTTTAATTAAAAACATCCTATGAAAAGAAATAAAAAGGCACTTGGTATTTGTCTTTGGATCAGTTGAGGCGCACTGCTAAAACCTTCCCAAAGTTCCTGTCTCTTCATCTCATGAATAGTTGCCATCCTGAGGTACTTATTCATGTGCAAAAATCAGAGCTTCAGGGATTTACCAGCTGCATTTTTCACACTGCTTCCAGTAAACGTGCAAAGTTCTTCATCAAACAGAATCTCTTCAATACAGAATAATGAATTCCATGAAGTTTGTTTTTCAGGGAAGAGCTGTGATCACTGACGCAGTCCTTATTCCAAATCTGGTCTTGTAGCTCAGTGTTCTTTAAACCTGAGAAAGGGCAGCAACCAGGCAGGAAAAGCTGAAGTGTGGGGCATTAACAGTCACTAACTTAAAAATGCAGTATCCAGCCCAGGATCCATCCTTTGCCATGCATTTTTCTATTCCCTGCCCATTTTACTTCTCCAAAATTACAACCAAGGGACTGAATTTAGATTTTGTATATGCAAGTGTAACCTCACTGATTCAGTGGATTTCGGTTTTCCTCAATTCAAAACACTGTAAATTCAGTCACCCCCTCCTTTAAGGAGAACTTTGAGAAAGTTACATTTGAAACTATTCTTAAACACAGAGCAAGCAATCAAGCAGCTCCTTATTCCCCACCTGCATGCTCCATGATGAAACTCAGGAAGATTACATATTTGGGCAAAACCAAACAATAACCAAAAGACCATGACAGAGATATGTTTTCAGCTACTTTTCAAAATAAGATGTAATAAAATAAAATGTTCATGATTTGAAAACATCAAAACGATGTTTGCTTCAAAAGTGTTTTGAAGCAAAATTAAAACATACAGAAATGGACATACAGAAACCTCAGCAAGTTCAGTGTAAATCTAGATATTATGGGGCAAAGTTTTAGTAACATGTTTTTAAACTTACTAAAGAGCAACAGCCATGCATAATACTTACAGGGTATGATCTGCATTACACCGAAGCTCCTTCTGAATAAGACGGAGTAAGAACTGTAAAAACAGTCACGGTATCTGTGTTAGTATCTATACAGATACACAAATAAACTAAGTTTCAGGACAAGATGTTCACTGTTATTCACAGAGCTCCTCATTTGAAACACTGCCCTGAATTGTTGAACTTAGTTAAGAAAAAAAAATAATTAAAGGATTTACAAATGCTCAGTGTTTGGGAGAGGAGTTTTTACAAGGAATAAACAAGTGCAAAAGTTCCTTTTTGCAACTAAGGCATCAATTTCTTCATAAAGACAGAATACTTTTCCAGTTACTTTACCAGCAGATGTGTAAAGAAACCAGCAGAGGGAACCCAAGACTTCAATAAAACACGGCAGATAAAAATTTGAGAGCATAAAGTGCTTTAAGGCATAAAGTATTTTAGCTGGTATTTTGCAAAATAACTTTATGTGTGAAAAGCTTTAATCACACAATTGGTAAAGATGAATAACGTCAGTCACATTTAATTGCAGGATCAGGACTTTCAAGTGCACTTTAAAAGCCATACCAAGATATATCCTGGAATAAATCACCCAGGAAGGTGATTTTAGAAATAAAATTTGATGATTCCCATGTACATTAAAGCCAGAAGTAGAACTGCCAGGGTTCCTTACTGTTACAGGTTTCCTTATCTTCAGAGTTTCACTCTTGCATATAGAACAGTTCAGAGGGAGTGGCCAAGAGTGACACAACTGAATACCACGTAAGAGGCTAAAGCCCCTCCAGATACCTTAAAAGAAGTAACATTTGAACACAGCCATCGACATGCTGTACTGCAAAGAGTGGGAAAAACCAAACAGGATTTATTGGAACAGCACAGAGTCAACCTTCTCAAAAACAGAGTTTTACAAGGGCACTTTAACTCATGCTGTAAAGAAACATGGTTTTAATAAGTAACTATACATGAAAAAAAGCAGAGCTTTAAATCTCCTTGGGAAAACTACACGAGTCTTCTAAACCTGACTCTGCAGCATGGAATACCTAATACTGAAAACAACACAAGCAATGATTTACAGAGCTGCTGACTACCAGTGGCAACACACTTCAACTGTTTAATTACCTAATTATTAAGTTACCTAATTATTCTAAATTTTATTATTATTATGAAGTTACCTGATTTGTTTACTTAATTTCCAGAGATTTCACAGCTTAAATGTGGAAAAATGTACTTTAAAATTTTGGGTTTAACATGAATTTAGGAAAAAAGCCTCACTCATAACTCAATGCAAGACTTTCTGCTTTTCTTTTGTCAGGAAAGTGTGGTCTGAGACACTCAGCACTAGCTCTTCTGCAGGAGCACACAGCTCAGTGCTATGCTGTGCAGGCACAGGTCTTTGTCTGGTCACAGCCAGCACAGAGGAGGAGTACTTCTGAAGTGTTTCACAGTCACCTTGCCCTTTCATCAACACTTCCACCCAGGACTTCAAAAGGAGAGGATAAGCAGGTGACACTTCAGGGTATCTCTGAGGTAGTCATAGCAGCATTCTGCTCTACTGCAGAACAAAGCTTGTACATACACCTGCCGGGGAAATCTGTGGCAAAAACAAAAACGTAACCTACAGACTAACCTACAGGTGGGTGCAGCAAGACTGGCTTCAAAGGTATAGCAAGACACCCCTTGCCTCATCTTGTATCTTCCTTGGTCTTCAGAAACAAAGCAGAGCAAGTCAGAACTGGGGGAAAAAAACCAACCACCTTTCCAGGTCTTCCTATCAATCATACAGGATCTCCAAGAGGAGAAAAAGGGAAAATGGATGTGCTCTGTACCAAGCCATCATGTGTGTGCTGCACTCCTTTTCCCTATACATCTGCTCATGGTGACTGTCAAAAGTTAGTATGCCAGTTTTCCGTCAAACCCAATAGAGCAGTTGTAGAGCCCATGTGGAGAATGTGATGCATTAACTTTCAAGAGCTTCATTATCATGGTGATTTTGGTGATACAGCAACACAGCAAAACATTTGTTACTACTTCGCTAAACTGGCTTTTAAGAAAACGGAAGTAATTCTTCTGTGAGTGGAATCTGAAGCATCTTCTAGGTCTGTGAATGAAGGTTTACCTACAATTATGCCTGCTGTAATCTGCTCAGCCAGCAATCAACAGATACGTAGTTGCCTGCAATTGAAATGCATCAGAACTGATCTATACTTTTGATTAAAATTAGATGAGAATTTCGAAATGAGCATGTTTGCTCTTTAATCGAAAATTTCCTACACAATTGGAAGTTTATTGTAAGACAGTATTAAAACTGCAAAAGGAAAATTTGCATTTTAAAATAGTTTAGCACAAAGGAACTACACAGCAACTAAACAGTATTTTTAGACTTACTAGCAAGGCACATGCATCTGCCATCATGAGCATGTAAAACACATTGTTCCAACCAGATGGGGAAATAAGACCAGCTAAAAGAGGCCCCAAAGCTGCACCTAAAATATAATATTGATACTGTCAGAATGATGCCAGGTAAGATTTACTATGCTGAAAGAGAGTTATTTTGAGTTAGAATATCAATTTCTCCACCTAGTTAGCTCAGAATTACCTTATGTATTAAAAGGTCATAGAAAACACAAAATATTACTGGTAAAGCTGCAAGGCAATGGGAACCCTAACACAGGGGAAGCTGGAAGACTAGAAGTTTGAGAAATGCCTACCATTGGCTCAACAAAATGCCCTTTCAGTATTAAGCTGAATCCTACTCAATTTTCCCTTCCACATACCAGTGTGGAGGGGCAAGAATAAAATATCCCTCATCTCAGAAACAGCCTGATGGCATCTGCTTTTGCTGTCTGTGCCCAGTATCAGTTTCCCACCCTCCTCTTCCCTTCCTCCCTCCCTCCCTCAGACACAACTAGAAAGATATGAGGCTAAGTTTGCTCTATCCCTATTTCCAAAGCTGTACTGCATCCTGGAGAGAGCCCATGTTCTCAAAGATCCTTTGTTTTAATCTACCACAACTAAGGCAGGCTACCTTACAGCTCTGGCTTACCTACAGATCCTGTTCCATCGATGATCGCTGTCACTGTGGACAAGGCTCTTGCATTACCTTTCAGGCTTTTATGGGTACCCTAAAAAGACAAAGACTGCTTAGAGCCATCCTGAGCTGAACTCTGAAAAAGTCTTTATAACATGATGTAGCTCACATCCCTCCACATTAGATGTACATTGTGAAGATGCCTTAAACATCCTAGATAAGACCCTTTTATTACTACTTAAACAAGCCCTCTACCCCAACTACCTAATATATACAGTGTTCTCTATTATTAAATCTGTTACTTAAATTGCAGGAGCCAAGCGGCTTCCTGTTCTGCACACCATGGATTCAAACAAGGACGGCACTTCAGCTTTGCATTATGCTTCAAGGCTGTTTCCAGGGCCATCTCTTCCCCACTAAGCCCGAGGAACAAAAGAAAAAGAAAACAAACAAACAAAAAAAAACAACCCAAAACCAACAACCCCAACCCAAACAAACAAAGAAAAACCCCACTGCTGTGGCAGGAATACCAGAATCATGGGTATATACTGAAATGCTAACTCAGAGAACTCAAGTCAAAAGAAGCCTTTCAGTCCCAATTTTAGAAGCCAGATCTTCAGAGCAAAATAACTGATAAAGGGAGTAACTTAGTAGAAAGACAGAGAAACTGAGTAATTTGGAGAACTGCTAATAAGAAAGAGTCCTTTATCTCCAGTACACTGAGGAGAATCCAATCAGGTAATTATTGGTTTACGTTTGCTTGTGTCAGATGTTTGATTGTTGACATCTGAGGAATTGGTTGGCAATTTCAACCCGTTTCCCAAGGGTCACATAGGGATCTTCCCATGTTGGGCTGTGCTTTCGAGCTAGTGGCCCCTTCAGTAAGATTAAGGATAAAATGGGCAATGCATGGCGGCTGCCTTTGTCTTGCCAAGCCCTCCATGCCAAAGATAGGGCTCCAGAGGAAGTTCAGAGATTTCTGTCCTGCTCCTTCTCCTATATTTAGAGCATTTATTGTTACAGGATTTTTCCCTTTTGCGTGGTGCCTTAAGGAGCCAAAACATTTGAGACCAAACTTCCTAAGCGTACCTAATGAAAGGTACTAGGGTCAATGTTTTCACATGGCATTTGTGACTTACTGACTGGATCCAGCTGAAAATACTGCCATCTAGAGTAACTGTACAAGAGAGGGAAGAAGGTAGCATGGACAAAAGTAATGGTATGTGCCAAATACAGGTTTTCGCACTGATGGGAATTAAGTCCCCAACTCTCATGCGCATAGAGCTCCTCCCCTCTTTTAATGATGTAAAGTATAAAAGGGGAGAAGGTACTTGTACAGACCTGGCTTTGCATGTAAACTTCACAATGACTTTGGGCTGTCAGCTACGAGATCTGGTCTGTCTTGTTAGTAAACAAGAATAATTTAGAAGCCTCTCACAAGCATGACATTCATTCATACTAATACACAAACTCCAAAACAATCTCAGTGGTCGAGTTCAGCACTGCCTAACCAGCTCCTTTGCTTTGGGACAATGCAGCCCGTTCACTCATGAGCCTGCAGAAGTCACAGGGCTCTCTCTGGAGGCCAGAGCTGCTACACTGGAAGCAGAGGGGAGGCCAAACTCACCAAATCAGCAGAAACAGCAGTGGTGATCAGAGCATAAGGGCCATTCACCAGGGCACCACTGATGAGCAGCATCACTGTTGCAAGTTGACAAAAATGGAAAACATAAGTTGCCTGAAAGACTGTTAACCATAACACACGAGACATCATAGCCTATGGTTCTCAAATAGTTTAATCCTTCCTTGGCTCCCCTGACCCCATAACAGAATTGGGAAAGGAGAAAAAGCAACATACATTCCTACCTCTCTTCAGTGCTTACTCCATGATGTGAATTCTCAAATATAACAAGATAGGGTTGAGTCAAAAGGCACTTCCCAGGTGCTTTATTGATCCCAGTAGGTCAGAGAAAGGGGAAAATCTGATCAAACTAACTCTAAGAGCAGGGGATCCTCACAGGAACCACCCGTAAACTCCTTCTCTCCTTGTACAGCACCAAGCACCAGAGGGCCCTAAAACTTCCCAAGGCTTTTTGGTAGGTGACTATCAGCACTTGTACATCAACTTCTGTTTTGAGGTAACAAACAGAAAGCCACAAATGAATTCAGCCTATATAAGTAAAGTTAACATTGTTGTCAAAAGTACTACAAGTAGTCTTTAAGCACCTCTGACATTTGGCATAGGGAATATAATAAAGCCTGTGCTGACACAAGCAGGTCCAGAAAGAAGGCTAATGATATTAACTAAATCACTGCTCTTGTGCCACCCTTTATTCATTTCCTAGCTTGCCCTTCCTCACCCTGTAAAAAGCCTACAAGACAAAGTCTAGGGAATTTGAATCCAAACTTCCTCCTCTAAGGGAAAAGATAAAATAAAAATAAATAAATAGTAAAACAAGACCATCAAAGGTTCATAAATGAAAATTTCACAGAATACCAGGCAGAAAATAACTTTAATATACTCACCTACAGTAGCCTCAAGGCCCATTTTACTGACTGCAGAGAACATGTACAACTGCAGAGATGAAAAAACAAGCATGTTGAACACAAACATACAGACTAATCCTAAATTCCCCATTTTTCCCATGTTTCCCCATTTCCCCATCTTAACTACAAAATATCTTAGTTGGTATTATGTGAAAGCTATTTCTAGGTTTTACCAAATTCTATCAGACTACAGCAGAACAACTGTCTGATTGGACACAGGAGGGAGACAAGAGGTATGCTCCTATTCCCCAGTATGTCGTTTCAGAAGAAAGGGCTGGTTTATGAGATTACGCAAGTTTAAACTCTCAAACTACCAGCTGCAACACAGCACAGAATACTGACCACAAAAGAATCAAAGAAAAATGCCAGTTTTTCAACAGTTTGCCTTTAAGCAGCTAAGATGCTGGCTAAGAACTGAACATCAAATTTTACAAGAGAAAAATTTTCAATACAATCCTGTAACAACAACATTAGACTTTTCTGCTTGTTTAGTAAAGGTAGCCCCAATGTCTATAATTGTTCACCTGCTTGAATTTAAACATGCTAGCTTTAAACCTGGGCTGAACTCTCTATATTCAAATTAGAAGATGCTGTCTGCAGAACTTCCCAATGAATGCTGTCAAAATCTCAGCTGTAAGAGAGGAGCAAGTTCTTACTGTGGGTGCTGCAAGCAATAACATCATTCCGCAGGTTGATGCCCTCTTCTCCAGCCTGTCTGAAATCAGGCCTGCCAAAATTCCACCTGCAAAAGACACAAGTGTGTGAGGAAAACACTCTGGGCATGTTTTACACAAAAGACATCAGTTACACTTAATGAAACTCAACTGAGATTAAAATAACATGATATGACTTTTAATGCATAGCAGCAGAGAGCATTAGATTGACAATGTAATTCACACTTAGCAATATCCTTATTAACCCAGCTGGTTTTGACTTGGAAGATAACAGAAGCAGACAGTTGTTCTTCCTCACTATTCCAACCAAATATCCAAGATGACAGGGTTGGGGGCAGAATAGAGACGAAAGTTCATAGAATTATATTTATAAGTCATTGCTCTGCTGCTTTTGAACGCAAAAACCTTTTTGCCAGGTGCTACGTGGCCCCACTGCTGGCATTCTGGAATCCAGCTGTGCCCAGCTACTCACTGGTCTCTTAACTCATCACATGCAACAGTAAACTTGACTCTCAAGTGCTCTGTCCATGTTGAAGTGCAACCAGGAGAAATGAGCTATTCCAGATCTTGGGACAAATTAAATACTTGATTTTCTCTCCAGGTACTCACTCTAGGCTCTTAAATTTTCCCTACTTCTTGTGTTTGCCAGCAACTGTACACAGAAGTACTAATCAGAGCATGTGGCAGGAGGGGGCTGAAGGCCAGAGGGAAGGAGCTGCCAAAATGATATAAAGAGGCACTGGTACAGGGAGAAGGAAAAGAAGTTCTCTAGATTTTCCAGATTCCTCAATATTGCTGGCCCTGCCTCTCCCTTTCCAGCTGTCCATCTCCAAAGTGCTCATCGCATTGTTAAGCTTGTATTCACAGAGAGCAAGATGCTGCTGAAAGAAGTCACCCACATCTCTAAGGTTCTACTGACTCTGGCTTCTAGCTGTCTAGAATGAAATAAGCAACAAGAAATGGCAGAAGTCACATTCAGCACAAGACTGGAACAATTACTGCAACACACCTTGACACCTGCATCTTGAACTACAAGGGCCTCATAGGTCCTGATCCCGTGAAACTTCTGAGTATCATGAACACCATTTTCCAATAGACTGAAACAGGACTTATTTCCATAAGGAAACTAGAAGAGGTGGAGAGGCGATGAGTATGTGTGTGTGTCATAAATCAGCCAGGCATCAAGATGGTAATGCTTGCTTCATTGTGAGCTATGCTGTCTGCACTGGCATAAATTTAATCATTCAGTGGTCACCTCACAGATTGCAAAGGAATAGTCTCATCCTTGTTATTACTACTACTAGTAGTACCACAGCTTTTCCTAAACTGGTGTGATTAAGGATGAAATATAATATTAAAACTTACCAAAGATTCCACCCACATCAAACAGTGTAGAAAGGTCCCCAGCTCTTTTGGCATCAAGATGCTCTAGTGAGAGAAGTAAAACATTTGTCTTATCTCCAGACTATAAAACATTGAAACCTCACCACAGTCTTGTCATGTTAGGGTAAAGGCATTTTACAGCAGTACTGTTTATAAACAGGAGTAAGCTACCATAAGGTGACATTGTATAAGAATGTCCCATAAGCGGGTATTCAGGGATACATGTTTTTGAATGCAGCTACACTAACAGCAAGAGATATTTTACCACTTCAACTAACATACAATCACAGAACGATTTGTGTTGGAAAGGACCTTCAAAGGCCACCTAGTACAACATGGCTACAATGAAAACGGACTTCTTCAACTGGATCATGTCGCTCAGAGCCCTGTCCAAATTGATCTGGAATGTTACTAGGGATGGGGCATCTACCACCTCTCTGGGCAATTTGTGCCAGTGTTTCACCACCGTCATTGTAAACAATTTCCTCCTTATACCCAATCTAAACCTACCCTCTTGTAGTTTAAAACCATTATCCCCTGTCCCATTGCAACAGGCCCTAGTAAAAAGTTTGTCCCCATCTTTCTTATAAGCCCCCTTTAAGTACTGAAAGGCCATGTTAAGGTCTCCCCAAAGACTTCTTGTCTCTAGGCTGAACAACCCCAGCTCTCAGCCTTTCTTCACAGAAGTCATAGAGTGGCCCTCCTCCACCAGAGCACAGTAGAGGGGGAAAATCACCTCCCTCAACCTGCAGGTCATGCTTCCTTTGATGCAGCCCAGCATAGAGTTGGCTTTCTGGGCTACAAGTGCACACTGCCAGCTCACATCCAGCTTTTCATCCACCAGTGCCCCCAAATCCTCATCCTCCACCTCCTCAGGACTGCTCATCTCCTATCTTGTTTATTTCAAGCTCATATTTCCAGACAATTTGTAATCATAAGTCTTTATCCCTTTACTGTGATACTTACCTACATTAGTGATATAGAGGGGAAGCCAGAAGAGGAAAGTATAGCTCACCAACTTTGCAAACAGAAGACAAAGGGAGAACTCTATGACTCCCTGAGAGAATAAAAAAAACCATGAAGTTAGCATTGTGACAGAAGCTGCTATTTGCTTTCAAAGACCATTATGAAAACGGTTTCTAAGAAGCACTTAGGCTTTTTGTTTTCTCTCAAGAATTTCCAAGAAGCATTCTTCCCCTGAGAGCTCAAAGCTTACAATCAGAGCAGACTGCAGTATTTTACTTCTCTTAATTGCATTGAATTGACTGAAGAGGGAACACTAAAATGAAGAGAAAGGCTTTGATGCTGTTTGGGACACCTGCCTCACTTATTTTCCTCGTGCAGAGTTTTTATATAGCATTATAGCAGGTTTGGATTGTATTCCAGAGAAGCTGGATTCTTTAGATCCTTCCTTCAGATCTAAAGAGTCTAAGATTTCTTCCTTATTGTTTAACTCTTTGCAAAAAGACAGTAAACCAGTACATCACAGTTCAAATCAGTATGTGGTAACAGCACACTACAGACAGTGCATATGCCTATTTAAAATACTAATTTGTTCCATTCTCTTTTCTGCTGGGAACATGAGAAGTATACTTAACTGCACAGAGCTGCAGCTAAACTGCCAAATTAACCTATCTTCATTCCCCTCACCATCTGGTATCTTTCTGCTTGAAATGGGATTTATTAAATCCCTGGTAAGGACACCACAATTATCTGCATGGACAGCACACATACACAGCTGGCTATACTTTACATACAGCTGTGACCCTTCCAAACAAGAGGCAGAAAAAAATAACCACAGAGTGACAGAGATTCCAGGTGGCAGCAGCAGCAATTTTTCTACCCACTACTTGAGGACCAATCTGGGCTGGATGAGAAGATACAGCAATACAGTGGTTGAGTGTTGGGGATTTCTTCCCCTACATTTACACCTGGTCCAAATCCATACACACATAATTCTACTTGTGCATCCCATTGAAGGTGCTAGGCTTCAAGCCCAGAGGACAATAAAGGATGATAGTCCAGTGCTTGACCACCCTTTCAGAAAAGAACTGCTACCTAATGTCCAGTCTAAACCTCCCCTGGTGCAGCTTTGAACTTTTCATAGAATCATAGAATAGTTAGGGTTGGAAAGGACCTTAAGATCATCTAGTTCCAACCCTCCTGCCA